GCTGTCAATAAATTCGATCACATATGATAAATTTTTTTACGTTTTCCAAATTCATAAAATGTAGTGGTATTATTTTGAAAGAAAAAACATCAATATCGGATTAATATATCACATATGAGGAATCAGTATAAGAGTTATGGGATGGAATATGTATAACATATATGTCACACTTTCTGAAACAATTAAACTCCACAATTGGAGGAGTGTTCCTTCGTGAAGCAGCAATCAAATAAATAAAATTGTTTAAATTAATATTTCGTTATTTCGTGTTTAAATAAATAACAATATTTAGATATGAGCAGGTGAACTCCGATTTATAAGAGTACCAAATTGTAGTCCTAAGATATCTGTTCTTTTTTGTTTATATTTAATAAGAAATAATATAATTGTCGCAATGTCTATTTAATTTCATAGTACGCTATAGAATGTTTTCAACTAGTTTCCTTCCAAAATGTATTTTTACCCTGTTAAAACTGAGTGTCAAGGGTTAAATAAGTTTATATATTGTGTAACACATATTGAATTTACTCTTTGTTGGATCGAGTATGCATATAAGTACTTCGCTGTATATTGACAATATTGGTCAATCAAACAAATGATAAGATATCTGTTTTTTTTTTTTTGCTTACATTTAGTAAGAAATAATATAATTGTCGCATTGTCTATTTAAGAATGTTTAAAGAAGAATGTTTTCAACTAGTTTCCTACCAAAATTTATTGTTACCCTGTACGCATTGGGTGGCAAGGGTTAAATAAGTTTATGCAACTGTATCTAACAAGCAAACACTGATCAAGTTTTGGGGAAAAGAGATGTATCCGTATGTTTGGCCATATTTGTGTCTACGTAAGACAAAATGTTAAGATTTGTGTACCTCCTGTGGAATCAATAACTGGTCAATATACCTGAATATTAACTACAAGTTCCGCACAATTGTAAAGCTAGGATAGTTAATTTTGGAAGGTAGACTGCTGCTAACATCTTGCGAAGGTTCGAATTTTGCCGTCTATTGTTCACAAAATGTCTCAGCCAATATTTCCACGGCTTCAGTTTTTTTTTATTATTATTTTTTTTTAACAAAAGAGGCACAATTAATTAAGAAATTCAAGAATATTCTTTATTTTGGATATCCAAAACAAGTATTTTTTTAGGTTTGACCTTGTCATTTTATATATTCACATGTTTTAATGCCATAGTTAGAGTCAAATGACAGGTTAATACTAGTTAAAAAGACATTATATCTGACACTTTTTTAGCTAAGTCATAATTTCGTAGATAAAGAAATAAATAAATGTCATCTTTGCCAAACATTAGTTACCTTTACGTCTGTATGTATACATCATGAGAAAACACAAATACACAATTATATTAGTATACCTATCTATGGAGATTGAATACAATGCGAGATGGAATTGGTTTGCTGTTGTGTATTTAACACACTAAAGAAATTTAATGAGACTATATAATATAATAACTATGTGCTGATTTGTGTCAAAGCACTGACAAAACACCTGCCACAAAAGTTTGGCTTTTAAATAGTTTTTATTTTGTAGACTGACACTGTTATTACAACCTGAAATTAGATCAATATTATACACAATATGCACTTCATATCTATCCATCAATCTATATCTGAGACATTCGCACATCCTCACTGCAAAAATATTCGGCTTTTCACCTAAGAGCAGTTATCTGAAGGTCCGTCTTAGCTAAAATCAACGAATCTTTAATAATGAAAGGCCATTTTCCAGTCAATATCATTTTGTTGTTGAATACGATTTTTTTATTTCTTACATTAAAAATTAAGCTGATTTCTGAACAATTTGTTCAGTATACATTAAAAATAGCTATAGGATATATATATGAAACATGTCTCTTTCTTTGCCCCATAAAGAAGACGAGATGAGCTTTATTTTCATGTAATAACCGATTTGCTGAGCAAACTTACATAATCCCAAATGAACTCTAATAGTTCTAATATTTACCTGCATAGCCTTTTTAGCCAACATTTTGAATAAAAGTACCACACACTCATTAGGGGAAAAGAAAGCATTTATTCCGTACTCACATCAAGTACGAACTATGTCACAACTAAACCAAACCTAGGAGAATATTAAGTTTAACAATTTGTCTACCTTTCAACAGGGTATTATACTTGTGTAATGAAGTGTGGAACGCATTGAAGGAGACTCGCCCGATTCTTAAAGTAAATATATTATAGATCAGCATCAATAGCATCAAGCAGTACATTTTAGAGGCGGGTCGGACTAATAAATCAAATATCTGTCATAAGAATGATCGTTTGTAAAATGGATTCTCGTTTAAAAAATTCTTTTGTTTCTAAAGATATTCAGGCCAAGCTTTCTTCCCTCACACTTGAACAAAAAATAATTAATATCGGAATACTATATCATATACCTCTCATAGAAACATTAGGTCGATTATTTCTATTTATTGAGAATGGTCGCCATTTTTAAATTAGCTGCTCTTCTAAGCTCTACTTACTTAGAACTCGTTTCAAGCAATTTTTGATCCCTCAAAAGTTTTAAGAAACGAATTCTTTTAATTAATAAATATTTATGTATAAACAAACAAAAATAGTCACATAAAAGTTGTTGTATTCTAAAGAAATTATATGATTTGATCAGATAGACGCGATTCCCATTTATATATATTTTACCGTCCATATCGAGATATTGTGTAACACATATTGAATTTACTCTTTGTTGAATCGAGTATGCATATAAGTACTTCGTTGTATATTGACCATATTGGCCAATCAAACAAATCAATCAGTCAATCAGTCAAACGTAACAAATATATTTAATAAGATCGAATAAATATCGAATATGATTACCCAATGTACCGTTAGTTTGCCTTAGGTCTGTGAATGAAACTTCAAAAACATCACAGTTACATAATAATTTATTTAACCTTATGACATATTCGAAAACAAGACTGTTTGAATTTAAATGTACTTTGCTTAAGCGCTGTATTACATTACCACAAGCAAAATAATACTTTTAGGATAACTCAGAGATAACACATGGAAACATAACAAAAATATTGATCTCTAATGAACTCAATAAATTCGATGTTGTAATGTGAGTTGTTGTTTCGATTGAGAACATCAAATGGAATAGTTAATCACTATTTTTGATTTCGACAGGCTTCGTTGCAAAATATATATTTTAGTGTCTGTTCATGTGCAGCCAAATACTAAGTATCTATGTATTTATACTTGGTACGAGTAACTTCTATGGATGCTTATGAATAAATTCGATGCTGAGAGGTCGTCCTTGAAACGCATTGAGCTCTGCACGTGCTTAGAGATAATCTCAGCGCTGGACCCTTAAAAGTGGCCGACGGTACTTACCAAACAAAACCGAATCTAACGAGTGAACAAAACTAAAGCAAGATCAAATAAAACAAATATGAAACATATAGTTTTAGAAAAGGATGATTTGAATGTAGGCCGGAATGAAAGTGCCTATTTATCGGCCGATTCGATTGACTAAATGAGTACCAAAAGTTGCATACTCATTGGTGTTTTTATGTTTTTTTGTTTGAATTGTGTATATTTTTGCATTTTATTTTTTTGCAATTTTATGTTTTATTCACAATAATTAACTTTTTAAAAAAGAGAATTGCTAATGCTATGTAAAAATTTACTAAACAAACTATAATCGAACATAAGCATAAACATAACCGACTTTAGACTACAACTTATGAAAAAGGTCTGAAATAATAATAATACAAGAACTAGGATAAAGCGGTTGGCGAAATAATTTCATTTATAAGTATATATGTGTATGTATCGGGCATACGATATTTATACATATATTTATGCATATGGTACAATATATAATATAATGTATGAAGCAAAACATTAACAAAAATTCGATAATTACACAACATAACTGAACTTAGATGTAATATCAGGATTAAGCTGAGTCGATACACATAAAATATATATATATATATATATATCTGTTTACATATATATACATATACATATGTACGTTATTTTATGTATGTACTATATATAAGTAATGTAAGTAGCGTTAAGGTATGTATTGAAAATTAATTGTTTCTCAACTGCTTTCAATGTACTTGTTTGTATTCCTTACACGTATTATTAAAATGTATTTACTTTTTTTTAGTTTTTCTTTTTTGTTGTTGTATTAGTTATAGTTTTATCTTTAGCTTAACGTGCTCTGTTTTGTTTTTGTTTTGTTTTGTTTTGTTTGGATCAAAAACGCTTTTAACTATGGAGTGAATATGCACACACATCAATAATCTTACGATTTACACGATTTACTATAAATAGAATGAATTCAACTTTTGCATTTTGCATTTGCTTTTGTTTTTTTGATTTTTTGAATTGTTACTTTCATATGTTTGCTGATTTTTATTTTTATTTTCAGTTTTACTTTTACTTTACTTTCAATTTTTAGTATGCACTAAGTAAATGTTTATTTTCTTGGGCACAAAACCCAAAGTGTTTTCAAAATTTGCCCTCTTTCTGGTTTTATGTCTTAGTTTATATACAGGAACTTAAAATGTATCTAAGAACACGACACAACGAACAATAAAATGACAAAAATTTATTCTAAAAGTGCGCCGCTGTCTAACTGCTTACGGGGTGTGTGTGTGAGTGAGTGAGTGTGTGTGTGTGTATTTGTGTGTATATTATTTGTATTTGTGGTTGAAAATTGTTATTCAATTTGTTCAATTTGTTTTAAGAACATTCACTTGGCCTACAATGTGCTCGTCACTTGCAATTTAGCTGCACTTACATTTAGAATCTACTACTTGAATTCTTGTTTTTTGTATTCATAATTAATACGGATAGTATTTTGTGTATGCATATTATAGTTATAGTTTAAAATTAATAAGTAATGCGCGTTAATTTATGAGACAAATACATACATGCACACATATATATATGCATATATATATCTATATATATATATATATATATATATATATATATGTGTGTTCATATTTAGTACAACTACTGAATGTGCTTCCTTCTATTTCTGATTTCTGATTTCTGATTTCTGAATTCTGATTTAATTATCTTTTTGCAGCTATGTCTCTCTAGTATTCAACTACTGCACCAAGCATCAATAGACTGGGTGATTAACATTTGTTTAGCTTGTTTTTAGATATCGTAAGAACTGACTTATTAGTTAGCTACATTTCATTAAACGTAGATTCTCAACTCTACTTGGCAATTCTATGCCAAACAATTTAAGCTTTGAAAACAGCGACGCCAACGCTGGGATTGCCTCACACCACCTCGTCCTCAATCCGCTCTCGTAGCTCCTCCTGCACAGCTTTCCTCACTTCCGAACATATATTTACAGAACGGTGAAAATTCAAGCTGCCTTCAACTAGCAGGGAAAGTCGATCGATATCAATTCGTTCTTAATTGGATTTGAAATCGAGTTCGGACTCGGAATCGGATTCGGATTCGGATTCGGTTGGGAATTGTTGTGATTGGGATTGGCTAACTGCTAGTAGGTGGCAAAGCCCATGGCGCCGGCGCTGCTGTTGTCCAAAGGTCACTGGTGCATCTTGGTGGCATGGTGGCCCATGCTCAGACCCAAGTTCAGGTGATGGTTGTTGTGGTGCTGCTGTGCCGCCTGCGCATGGTTGTGGTTGCTGCTGGAGTTGTTGTTGTTATTCTGCTGGGTGGCCTGCCGCTGCGAGTTCTTCTTGTTCTTCATGCGTCGATTTTGAAACCAAATCTTCACCTAAACACACCCATGCAAATGCAACGATATAAATAACATGTTCATTAACTTTTCTTTATTTATTTAACACACCTGACGCTCCGTCAACTGCAGATTGCGTGCCAGCTCCCAGCGCTTCTGCTTGGACACGTACGCATTGAAGAGAAATTCCTTTTCCAGCTCCAGTGTTTGGAACTTGGAGTACGGCTTGCGTTTTTTTCGCACCGACACCTGTCCGGTCCATTCGTGCATCGCATTTGTCGGTGTGCATGGACCCACTGCACCCACTGAAAGGCCACCGGATGCGCCTGGGGACGATCAAAATAATATTCGCACATATTTCTCATTATTTTACTCACATCAATTATTATTTATTATTAAATTTATTTATTTTATATTTTAAATTCTACAGAAATAATAATGAATTTGGCAATTCAAAGTGAAAAGTAAAACGAGCAAGTCGAGTGAGCTCGACTACAAGATACCCTGTTAAAAATATATTATAGTTTTAATGCCATTTTTAAGCCTTCTGATAGTAATGAAATCAACATGAAAAATTCTTTTCAACTATAACTTTGGATCTTGCTGCAATGTCAAGTCACTCAAATAATATTTCATTGTATTTAAATATTAATTGGAATCGTCTGCTTTTAAAGTTGTAGCTTTTATTGATATTGAAATTCAATATGAATTGATATTCTCGAAACGGGGGCAGGTATCGATCAAACGAAGTAAACTTGATCTTCACAGGGTATACGGCAATTTATATTCCAAAGCTTAGAGTTGTTGTTCTATTTCTCGTCTCTGATGCGGATTGACAAAAAACGCACAATTATTATTATTAGCTTAAATTGAATTAAGCGAATCGATCAACAAATATCGGACAGAGATTCGGCTAGATTCAGCTAAGAAACGTACTAAACTATGGTGGCTGTCAGGAAATTAATTTAAAAAATATTTTCAACAAATAAATATTTGTTCTTATGTTAAATGAAAAACACGTGATGATTTGTTGCATAATTTTCATTACACAAATATAAATTTCTTCTAACAGGTCTTAGACATAATTAAATTCGAGTGAGCTCATTACAGCCTAGCAGAGGTTATATAATATATAGAATAAGGATCGATGAAGTAAAAAGTTAAAAATAAATTGGCATTAGCAAAAAACAAAAATGAATTTAGCGAGTCCTTTATAATTAGTGCTTAAACACTCAGTTCAAAGTGGCTTAAACACGAAATGGGGGCAGGCAGTCGGGTTGGGGAGGTGGCACTTGTTTTAATATGTATTGGCACACCCACCGACAGGAGCACGAACCCGGTTGAGTGTTGACGATATTCATTTATGAGGCATTTTGCAATACGCTAATTAAATGACAAACTTGACAGTGTCGCAATTTGCAGTTTGCCCCACACTCGCCAACAGGCAGCAGAGGCAAACAGCAAACAGCAATGCGAAAAGCGATAACACAAATACACTCGCAAAAAATCACCAATAAAACTAAAATGTTTTACTTGTTTAAGATATAATAAATATTAGAAAAATTATTGTAAATATTACAGACTTTTTTCCTATTGATCAGAAATATGTTAGACAATAGAAAATATTTCAAAAAATTAGAAATGCTAACCCAGATTTTTAGTTAAGAAAACCCCCTTTCGAAATATTGAAGATTGAAAATTAATGAATTTATAAACTAATGTTTGTGAGATCTTAAAGTAATAATTGTTAATAATAATATAAGAAACCAAAACGTTATATTAAAATATAAAAGCACATTTTATATTTTGAAATAAACGTTCTGAATAATAAGTTGAGTTACCCTTGGCGAATTTCTAAAAATGAATGCCAGTTGTTTTTCTCTGTGTATGTGTGTATGAGTATGTGTGTGTGTGTGTGTGTGTGTGGACTCACCTGTGCTCGAGTAGGCCTCGGGGAAGGTGCGCAGCCCACCTGGGGAGGAGTAGGTGGGAGTCTCGTAGCTGGACTGCGAGGTGCCCTCGACGGACTGTCGCGCCGCTGCCGCCGCGCTGACAGATGCATGGCGCTCATCGGTGGCGCTCATGTAGACCGCCGCTGCAGCGGCATTCGGTTGATCACGGTAGTTGGGCCAATATGGAGGCTGCTTGTTGTCGTACGTGCAACATGCGAGAGGGGGACGAGAAGAAGGCAAATGCGTAAAGCGTAAAGTTGACATTGAGTTGTTTACTAGACAGCTGCTGTCTGGCGCACAATTCGAGCCGGAGTATCAGCGCCTGTTGTTGTTGTTGTTTTGCACTCACCTGAAACTGGGTCTCTGGGTAACCGTAGAACATCGGCTTGCGATCCCTGTCGATATAATATGGCGTGGCATGGTACTGGTTGAACTCGTTCTCATAGGGCCACGGATGCCCGTGCCGCTTAACTGGCGTCGTTGCGTCCGCCTCGAAGCCGGGCCTGATCGCGGGTATATGTATTGGCGCTAGTGAGATGGACATGTCTGTAAAAGAGAGAAGAGACATTCTCGTTATCGATTGCCTGTCAAACAAATCAACTTGACGAACATTCTCGTTCCTAATTATGCGCCCAACAATTTACTGTGAAAATACAATTAATTTTTTTGAGAACAGACTGTTGTCTTGGAACAGACTGTTGTCTTGGAACTGATTGTTGTCTTGGAACTGATTGTTGTCTTGGAACAGACTGTATTGAATCACAGCTCAACATATTCAATCAGTCAGAGTTCGAAATCAACAATAATAATTATTTAACAACAATAAATGTTGATAGGTTTAGTTAATATTTGTACACAGTGGTTATTATAATTAGAAACAATAATCTGGTTCAGAGTGCACGACCCGAATATACCCTGTAAATATCTCTGAAATGCCCCTACTCACATTTCTACTTATATTACCTAGAACACGTCTACATACACAAACTAATACGATGAAATGTAAGCGCTTCTGGCAGCATATTATATTATAAGCAATTGCTTATTTTTCTCTCAGAAAAATAAATAATAATAATATATATATAAATAATAATATATAATTATATATAATATATATATATAATTATAGAATTATACAAATAAAAGAAAATGATGATCGCCCTTAAGCAAGCCTATTACAATTAAATTTCATAATTTGAAAAAATTTGGAGACTTCAACGAAGTCTGTATGCAAATATTCAAAACCAATTTGGTGTATCGAACTCATTTATTCTTTGAGATGTGCTTCAGAATGGGAAAATGATAATGTATAGACTCGCTCAAATAATAAAAAGAACTCGGATACTAAGAAATGCACCCCAAAAAGCATTTATAACTTTAAGGGACTTAAATAGTATAACAAAAATAGTAAATTAATTTCTATTAATTAAAAACTATCTGGTAATTGTTGAATACAATTAAAAGAGAAATTGAGAATAAATAACGTAATAATATGTGGATATTGGGATTTAATCATATATTTGTACTTTCTATCAAAACCAAGTATACCCCAAAAATATAAAAAATATATGTAAATTGAAGGTTCCCCTTATAAGTAAATCGGAAAATTCGGCAGACAAGTATGTTGGAAAACTATTGCATTAGGCGTTTCTATTTGAATTCAATTAGTGACTTATTTTCAATAATCTTTCTGATAATTTAACTGAGAAGTGTTTTATTAAAATAACAAAACAAATAACTTTGTTTGGAATGCCTCTGACTGATTTCAAAAGCTTATTGAAAAATTTACTGATGAACGAATTTAGAAGATTTTAATATGATTAACTTGAAACTTATTTGCAAATATCAATATGAACATTAAATGAGAACTTGTTTTACCATTTCGAGCAAACAGACAATTATTTTGAAAGCGCTACTGTTTTTAGCAATCCCAAAAGTGGATGCCCTGAGCAAAGCCGGTATTTTAGTATTTAATGACTGCAGTTTATTATGAAACTTAATCCAACACTTAAAAATCAAATAAATTTATTAACATGCTTAAACCACAAGGTGATTTTTATCACCCAAAACAGATCTCAAACAAAAATCAGTCAATTACTATTTCGTTAAGAAATCAAAACTGTCTCCTGAATTATTTTATAATTGATGTTGGATTCGAATATTGGAAAGGTTTTTAGATCGGGAATGGAAATATAAATATATAATATAAGCTGAGCCGATGAAAATAAAGAGGTCTTTGTAAATACAGAAACCATCATCATCAACCTGGACTCATATATTCAATCTGAGGATGTAGATGTTAAAGGTGAACTAGTCTGAATTGTTATCAAAACAAGCCAGATTTGTACTTAAGGGTTAAGGGAAATTAGCTCATTGACTACTGTCATAAACTAGTCAATCCTAACTTAGTATCGACTGCTTTGCGAGTAATAAACAGAAGAAATGCGCGTTGATTGAATCAAGCAATCCTCATTATATAATTACTGCAAAATATTTCTACTCAGGCAAAATAAAGGCCTGAATTAAAAAAAAAGTAGCCTTAAAATGAAAAGTAGTCAGAAAACTGGAACGTTTTTCTGCTTTTTAGAAATAATCTTTAAATACGGGAAAAAACATTTCCAAAACTTAGAAAGGCTTTCCTTAAGTCGACAATCCCAAAACTATGTTTTTCTTTTTTATTATCTTTTAGGGATATTTTTAATTATTAAGAAATGCATTTGTGAAGTATCCCAATAGAATTTTAAGTTTTTCAATTTTAGTTATATATATGTATATATATATATTGATAAACTATTTAAAATGTTTGAATATGTGAAATATTTCCATACCAAAGGAAAAATAGAAAAACATTCTGAAAATTATTCATATTTTTCTAAACATAAGAAAAATGTGCATTAAAATTAATATAAGCATAAACTCTGATTGCTAGAAATACACCTTCTGGATAATAAGCTAAGTTAGGCTTGGCGCCAAAAGTATGGGGAATTTCTAAAATTCAGGTCTACTTCAGTTAAGTTGGTTTAATTTCAAGATCGATAACCAAACCGTAAACCATAAAACTATAGTCGAGTCTCAATTTGCACATTTTACATACATTTACAGGACATCATCGCATTTGAACATATTATAATGACTCAGCTTAGGTTATATGGATTAAGCTGACAATCAGACTGAGTCTTGAAGAGAGGACTCTTCATCGTAGTTAGTGGTAGGGGAGGAAGGGTGCTCCAATTACCTGCTTGCTGAGAACTGACACTGGAGGGAGAAACACTCGCCGTTGTTGGTGCAACAATTTGGCTTTGACCGGCTGCCACAACCGAGTTTTGTTGCAGAGCAGACGTGGCGCCACCACTTGGTGCACTACTCGGTGTCTGCTGCTGCTGCTGCTGCTGTTGTTGTTGTTGCTGCTGCTGATGATGAGGTGATGTGAGGTGTTGGGGTTGCTGCTGTGCGGCTTGACCCGTAGGAGTTTGGGCGGGACTAAGGGCGCCGCTAACCGGGGTTGTTGCAAGTTGTTGCTGCTGCTGCTGTTGTTGCTGCTGTGGCGGGGGCAGATGCTGGAGAGGCGGCTGTTGCTGTTGCACGGGCCCCGGCTCCTCATACATCGCCGCATGTGTGGGCGTGGAATGTGTTGTGGGCGTCGTCTGTTGCTGCTGCTGCTGCTGTTGCTGTTGCTGCTGGAGTACGGCGGATGGCGTGGAGAGTGCAACCGAGGCGGAGGAGACGACTGTGTGCTGCTGCAGATGGTGGTGCAACGGCTGGGTCTGAGGCAGGTGGTGGTGATGGTGCGGATGGTGATGCAATTGCTGCAAATGTTGCGCGGACTGTTGCAATTGTTGGTGTTGCTGCTGCTGCTGCTGTTGCTGCTGTTGTTGCTGTTGCTGCTGCTGTTGTTGCTGCTGCTGCTGCTGCTGCTGTTGCTGCTGTTGTTGGTGTTGCAGTTGGTGGTGCTGCAGCGCGACCGCCGAGGCGCTGGCTGAGGTGGGGTGTGGGTGCGATGGATGTGGCGGATGTGGGGGATGTGGGTGTGTGTGATGTGGCCCCCACCAAGCCCCGGCAGCGGCGTGCGACCCGACTGCCGAGACATCGTGGGGGTCGTAGAGAGCGCACGCCAGCGGGATGGTTGGGGTTTGGGGAAGGGGTGGAATATTTACGGTTATCTTGAGTGCGTCTCAGTCAATCTCAGCGGAAAATGAAAGGCACCGCAAACACACACCAAAAACCAACACAGACCGAACGGGACGCGGCCCCCAAACACCGACCCGGTTTCGATTTCGGCTTAGTCTTTTTTTTTGTATATTTCTCTTTATATTTTCAGTTACAAATATGCCAATTTCTTTTTCCAATTGCAGTTTTTTGCTTATGTTTTTTCTTTGTTAATATTTCTCTTTATATTTTCAGATTATCAAAAACAATTTTTTTTCGAAGTGCCACTTTTTGGCATCACTTTAAGCCGGTTAATGTTTTGTTGTTTTTTTTTTTAATTTTCAGTTTAAGCAAGTCCAATGCAATTTATTTGTTTTTTTTTTATTTTTAGTTTTAATTGCCGGTTTTTGGCTTACTTTTCAGGCGGTCTTTTTTTTGTGTTATTTCTCTTTATAGCAGGCCAACTTTTTTTTGTATTTCGCTATATATTTTTAGTTTAAATAATAGTTTAATACAAGTAGTTTTTTGCAATTGCCGCTTTTTGGTTTGATTCTTATTTGCAGTTTTACGACCCAAAAGAAGTCGACGTTTAACTCACGCACACACACGCACGCACTGGCACACACGCACAGGCACACACGCACACAGGCACGCACACACGCACAGGTCAATGATGACGGAGTGCGCTGCTTGCGAGGGTGAGCGAGCGAGCGAGAGAGAGAGAGCGAGAGTCAGAATTCATGAAGAGCAAGGCTGGACGGGCGAAGAGAGCACTAACTAAATACCACCCACAACAGTTGCTGAGTTGTTGATGGGGGGCCAGGGCGAGGGCGAGAGCGAGGGCGCGGGCGGTAAGCGTTCTTGATCGAAAGCCAGTCGAAGAGATAGCACAGAGCACAGGGTGTTTACGGTGCTTAAGACTCGCACAAATGTTTTCAAATTGGCCTTTTCCCAGTTGGTCAATTTTCCATTTTTTAATTATTAATCAAACTTTCAATTTGAATTTCTTCTTATTATGTGTACTATTTTTTGCAGTCATCTGTTCAAGTTTTGTAATCACTTTTAAGTCACTTGTATTGCAAATATTTTACTTAGTTTTTTATTTGATGCGTTTTGTTTGTTGACTTTCGAATTTGTTGTTGTTAAAAGAAGTTTTTTTTTCTTTTTTGATGCCGGTTCAAATGGCGCGAATGAATATTATTTTTATTCAGTGTGTGAGAGAGCGAATCTGAGTTGTTGTTGTGGTTGTTATTGTTGCTGTGCTTGTTTTTTATTATTATTATTTTTGTTGTTGGTTTTTTTTTATGTTGCTGGTCATAAAATTTGATTTTACGATCAAAACAAACAATTAAAAACTCGCCGCTCGCAACAGTTAATAAAATTCAGCAAATACTCGTATTATTTTCTTGAGCATTTTTATTTTCATTTTTATTTTGTTGGCGATTCCATAGTGCCAAACATATTTTTTTCTTTTTTGTCGTCAAACAACACTTCACTTGAGTCAAAGTTCTCGCTGGTTTCGCTGGTTGTTGCTATAGCTGTAGTGGCTACTTTTGGGATACAAAACTCAGGTCTTTTTTAGTGTTGTCGCTGCTTTGACGCCCGCACGACTTCGACCGTACAGAGCGAAGCACAAATCTACACTGGCAGCGGCTGCGAAAACGGCGACAGTCAGCAGAGCCAACAGCAGCAGAGGCAGCAGCAGAAACGGTGGAGTCCAAGCAGCGACTCTCACTCTCACAAAACAAACAGAGTCAAGATGTGAACAAAAGGCATATTCGATACGTGTGCCTGACTGCTGCTGACTGCGCGGCGCCTTGTATCCGTGTGCCCAAAAGAGAGTCTCGCGCATGCGCATCTGCGTGTGTGTGTGTGCAGTGGTTGTTGTTGACTGTAGTCGCGCTCTCTCTCTCTCTCTTTGCGGCGCGCGTTATGCACACGCACAGTATGTGTGTGAATGTTGGATACACGAATGCTTGTATGTATGGGTGTGCACATGTACACACGTCCGTGAGACCCAATGCTTTAAGAGAGCCTCCTATTAAGTGAGCCTATTTCAGAATTGTGGTCTTTTCTTTTGTTTTTTCTTTTGTTTTTTTGCACCTTGAGAATATCGATAATAATTACAGCAGGCTTTTCAGCAGGTGCACATGGAACATTTAAACAGTAGTACAGCAGTACAATTACACAGTATGGCCTTTGTGTGCTCTTTTCACAGTGCAGCTACCCTTCTCTTTCGCTCTCTCTTCTTGTGTGTCTCGCTTTCTCTCTCTCTCTCTCTCACTCTCTGTTGCTGGTTCTTGCTAGTTGTTTGTTTGGGGCTGATTTGAATACACGTACTTTCAACTCTCGCGCACAAGAGCGCCATCTATGGCCGAGATTTCAATGGGAAGGGACTGGGGTGGCTCCCTCAACATTGCGATGTTTTTTCTTTTCTTTCTATTCTTTTCTGTTTTTCGAATCGCGTCTGTTAGTTGAATGTTGCCCTTATATTCTTGCAACAGCAACAACAGCCATTCAAGTCAACATTTATATATAGACATATATTTATTAATATATGTATACATATATATATTTATATACACACGCAAAGAGTATTAAATTGAACCCCTTCTCCGATAATTAATCAAAATGAGCTAAATAAATATATATATACACACACAATAATTTACGACAGCATACAAATTGAGACAATTGCGCTGGCTTCCCAGCAGCAATTTAATACGAGCGCCTGTCCCTGGCCCTGCCCATGCCCCTGCCTCATGTTTCATGTTCAACATTTGTCGAATTTAACGCTGCAATAGACAATTATGAGCATTTTACGACAATTTCCATTGGAAGAAGAAAACGGCATTGAGACAAGGACGGCGAAATGTTGACAAATCATAAAAGGATACGCATTTCCCAGCACAGTCAACTCGGTTCACGTTGCACGTTGCATGCTTCATACCAAGGGTAATAATAAACAGCCAAAAAAACAACACGACGACGAATAATCTAATACCCTATCGTTTAGTATTTATGTTATAAAAAATATATTCCATTCCAAAGAAAATAGGTGCTAAAAACGGAAAATATTTAGTCAAATTGGAGCACGCCTCAAAGTAGCAGAAGTTTTCATATCGATACAGATTGTGCAAGGATTTCAAAAGGTCGGCTTCTGATTCCGACTTTAGTTAAACATACAAATGAATTTCTAAAAATTAGAAAGTCTTTTTTTTTCTCTTTAATGTTTTAGAAATATTTTCTATTGTTAAGAAATGCATTTCTAAAAGGTAAAACATTAAAAACTAAGCGCAGCAGTGCGTGTAAAAGTAACGTAATTTGGATGTGCTTACCTGGTGGCTGGGAATTGACGCTGGAAGGGGATATACTCGCCGCTATCGGCGCAACAATATGAGTTTGGCTGGACGCCACTTCTGAGATTTGCTACAAGTAACGCTGCTACCGTTGATACTCTTCAAATTGTGAATGGTTCACAATGGTAGATTGCTGCAAGAGAGAGAGAGAGAGAGAGTGTGTGTGTGTGAGAGAGAGAGAGAAGAAATTAGTGAGTTGAAAGCAATGCGATAAATGCAGGCGCCGCCTTGCGACCACTTTCCCAGCACACTTAAGGGTTAAGACAACAACAGCAACAAGAACAACAACAACAAGAACAACAACAACAACAACAACAGCATTGACGTAATGATGTTTCCTACGTTACTGCGTCCCTTCCACAGGGAAGTCATCTTACATCTTTATGACTGGCGCAAACGTCTTGTTTGCATTTAATACCGGGCAGGTAATAATGCATTTCAGGCCCAGTCAGAGTTGCTGCTGCTGAGTTGTTGTCGGGCGGACGGAAGTGAGCGCCGAGCTAGGCAAATATATGTACAGACAGACAGACAGACAGACAGCCAGTCAGGCAGACAGAGAGACGGGCAGACAAAGAGACAGCCGTCAAACACATCGTAAAATTTGTTTCCTCGCCTTGTATTTGCATTGTACAAAATTCTGCTGTTTGAGTTGAGGCCATTTGCTTTTTTCTTTGGCGGTGTCAGGGTCAAAGTCAAATCTATTTGTACTTTCATGCCCTACTACAATATACATGCTACCAATTTGCATTCAGAGGCACATGTGCTACTTAAAACCATATCCCTTTCAATTCTAATCCCAGTTCGCTTGTAAAAAAACACATTTGGTAGTTTCTCTAAACTAGAATTGGTTGATTTTGATTGATTTACTCATTATTACTAATTGCACTTAAGCTACTTTATTCAACAAGAATTTCTAAGGCAGTTGGCTTAAGCTGGAAGTTTTAAATTCGATTGATAGACTCAATATTCATAATTGTTAAAAATAAAATACATTATTGGAAAAGTATTGATTTGGCTTCAGATTACTTATCCCACTCAAATCAGACAAATGCCCAACAAGTATTAAAAACTAATTTCAGTCACTTGCTGCCATTGAAGTTTCTGTGGAATCGATCTTCTGTGGAATATATTTGAATTCATTCCCGAAAAACTTCATAATTTGTTGGTTCCGAATATTATGGTAACTTAAAAGGTTTTAGAAGACTCATCTTTATATATGATCTTACTATTTTATTATGACCAATATATATTAGAGTGAAAAATTACAGTTTCATCAAGATCATCAGCTCAAATGGAAACAGACGGACGAAATTATACGAAAAATGTCAAATCACTTAAAAGAATTATAGTAGTAAAAGTATAATAGTATATATTATGAACTTAGTTCATTTTTTATAGCAAATATCAACTTTCAGCACACTTTTCGAAAACTTGATCAAATTAAAACTAAGCTTTTTTTATTCACCATCGAGGGGATTCCCCAATCACATTAAAACTATAACAAATATATATATATGAATGAAATTCTAAACATAAAATTATTTTATGTGTTATATATTACTATCTATAATCCAATCTAAATACAAATGACTCAATTCACAGCAGATTTTCCATGATTTGGATTATCTATGTGGGCTATAAATTTACTCATCGATACTGTTCGATT